GTGTGTGTGTGTGTGTGTGTGTGTGTGTGTGTGTGTGTGTGTGTGTGTGTGTGTGTGTGTGTGTGTGTGTGTTTACAGGTGGTGAAGAGCTGCATTCTGACTGCCTGGCAGTTGTCCAGGCTCCAACGGTGCAGGTGGACCCTCAGCTGATTCTGCCCCTGGATATCAACAACTACCTCATGACTCACTACATCAGGACCTTGTTTAGGGTACAAATCATCTGTTGATTTGGTTTACATCTGTCTCATACCACCAACAAATTTTATTCCTTTTTAAACCTTAACACCATTCCCTACTGGTTTAACCTTGACCTACACCCTTCAGTTAAAAGATTAATTTCTGCTCCTTGGCTCACTGATAAAATTTCAGGAGCCTTAAATCATGTTACAATTGTGATTATCAACTGGTGGTTCATGGGCCACTTCGAATTTGTTTAATGGGGGGCCTTTTCCGAATAGTGGGGGGTGTCCAAAATATACAGTGAATTTGAACTTTTATTATTATTTTTACACTTCAGGACAAAAAGAAAATACCATAATTATGTAGACAAGAGAAATACTGTACATAGTTCATGATAAATTTAATAAAAACTGTATCGAAACTATGCTGGCTTATTTTTGTTTTTAATTCTTACTATTTTCTAGTTTAGTCTTGAAGGTCTTTAAAGGTAACCTTGATGGATTTGAGAGAAAGATCAGGTTGTGAGGATGAAGGTTGGATTATTGAAATGGACAGCAGACTACTAGCATGATCTGATTAGCATGTTTCATTCTTTGCATTATTGATCACATACCGTATTTATTCATGTATAATACGATCTCGAGTATAATAGGATCATCATTGTTTGACCTTAAAAAACATTAAAAATCTATTTATAAATAACCTGTGTATATTACTCCCCCCCCCACACACACACACACACTTTATGAATGATTTTAGTGTTAAATTTCTAGTATTATACATGAATAAATACAGTAATTGCAAACAAATTGACAGGAAAACTGCTAAAGCTAGCCTTTTCTGTTGTGCGTATAACAACCAAAAAAATTTATCTCATGTTGGCTTTTGTCAAATATTTGAAATGGAGCCTTCGGAGTGTCTCCATACAATCACAGAGCTTTCTAGTTTCTTCATGAGTTGCAGAGGCTCAAAATCTTGAAAGCTCAAAAGTTTTGAACAGATTCAGAAAACCTTGGGTGACAATAGTCCCCATGTAGTCACAGGCATCTCTGTACTTTGACGTCTGCATGGGAGCTCTTCTCTGTCTCTTCTCTTTCACCTCCTTGTTTGAATCGGTTACTGCAAGATTCCCCTTCAATGTATGATACATATTCCTCCCAACTTATTACATTAAAAACCCCTAAAACTAAGTCTTCTTTTAGACTTGCGTCTTTCTGTTTTGCTGCAGCAAATGACTGGAACTTTTATCAAAATACACTACATTTCAACACTTTGATGTCATTGCTTACTGTATGTATATATGTTGTTGCCCTTTCCCCATCTTCCTCTTTTAAATGTTTTATCACTTTCATTGTAAAAAAATAAATAGTCCTTATTGGTTTGCCTGGTGAAATAAAATTAACCAACTAACCAAAAATCTGCTTATTTTCTTGTAATATTTGAGTTAGTTGATCAGTTGCAGCCAAGATACTTGCCTAAATAAGTGTACTAAAAATCCATCATCTGGATGTTAAAATGGGCAGTTTTACTGTATAAAACGTACTTTGAAGGGAGATGATACCTGTATGTAGGTGAAGCTTTTGTGTAGCTTGAACAGCTGTGTGTGTCTGTGTTGCAGGAGCCGTTGTTTGGGATGCTCACCGCTCCACTGGAAGAATCTCTAATTAGACTGGATGAGGAGCTTAAACAAGGAGCCCTGGATGTTTTCATTCTGGTAAACGTTGCATTTGAATGCAGCTGCTGAGGTCAAGCTTCTAGATTTGCTAGTTCACTAGAAGTGGATTCAGTTTAATCCTAGCAGTAAAGTTAAACTTGATAAAACTTTGCAAAAGCGCTCAGATCTTATAATCCTAACATAATCAAAAAGTTTAGCATTGAACTTATTTGTCTATGAGCATCTTAAAAAGTAACATGCATAGCATTTTATAGCGAGTTACATGGACTTTTTTGTTTTATTGTGATAGATACTCAGGTTCATGGGAGACCCAAATTTGAATGGAGCTCAGGAGAACCTCTTTGGGAACTACATCATTCAAAGAGGACTCGCTAATCCACGCCTCAGAGATGAAATCCTGGCCCAGATAACCAGTCAGGTATAAAAACAGCCCATTTTTTGTTTTCTTTTATACGCCAATATGATTGTTTACCCTTAAGTGCTTCCTGGTTGCATTCTAGGTGTGGAGAAATCCGAACATCCTGAATTCCGAACGTGGCTGGCTTCTTCTCTCCTCCTGCCTTTCGGCCTTCGTRCCTTCTCAAAGGCTGGCTAAATACCTCCTAAAGTAAGTTATTAAAGGCTTGTTTTAAATGTGCTGTTTTCCTTGCTTTGGTGGTGGTTTGCGTGCAGCTCGAGCTTGTTGTTGCTGCAGGTTTGTGTCAGACTACGGCCCAGAGGGTTATGACTGCGTGTGTCAGCACCGGCTGCTTCAGGCTCTGCAGCGCCTCAACATCGGGCCGGAGTACGTCCGGACATACCCGCCCTGTCTGCTGGAGTGGACGGCCAATCGCAAGAGAGCTCACACTGTTCTGCACTTACACTGCTTTGATGGTGAGGAAACAACCTGATTATCTCAGTGGTTACATTTTTGTACTGGTGCATGAAATGCTAAGGTAAATTAATGCTTAGTTTATGATCATTTAACCTCTCCGTCCCCTTAGCAAAAACCACGAGAATGGCAAATTGACTTGAATTTAGTTCACTTTTGCTTAAATGTCTTCTGACGTTTTCCAACATACTGTACCTAAACAGCACTTTAGTTTTGTCCTTGCTAATTAGTGCAGCTTGGTAAAATTAACAAAAATGAGGCAAAATTTGCAGTTTTCACTTCAAGACATTTAATTAGGCCTACTTTCATTGTCCATTGAATTTGAAAACATTAAATTTATCTTTTTTTCACGCTTGTTCTGAATTTCTTCCTGATTCCAATCTCGCCAGTGACTCTACCCGCTCTGATTTTTTTTCTAACTGAGCTCGTTGAATGTGCGCACCTTCATGGATGAGTTCTCCGTCTCTCTTTCTCTCATTTCCTCCTTTCGTCCATCTAATCTGTCTTCTGATCTTTTGGCAAGCCCACTGAGGATTAAATAACACTCGATACTCTTGTCATTTGTGACTATTTGTGGTGCTGGTGCCTGATAAAACTTTTACAGGCAGATCCCTATATGGTGCAACCCTCTTTATCAAGCTTTTAATACGTTAAAACATGACATAAAACACTGATTTTTTTTTTCACAAAGTAATAACCATAAACAGAAATGTATAACTTTTATTCCGCAGGTGTGTCCTTCCTGTGTCCATTGCATTCATGGACAACGGGAGAAGAGATCGCCAAAGACGTCTTACAACACAGGTGCTTTTTCACTGTAAAACATAAAAGCTGCATGGATTGGATTGCAGAAAAAAGGGCTGATAAAAGGAAATGTCTAGTTGAAAACTTCACCTATTCTGTACTTTGTGTGTGTGTGTGCAGAGGTGTGGTGGAGTGCCGCAGAGGCTGGTCAGTTCTGCTGAAGGAGCCGGCTCAGTGGGTCGAATTAGAAGGTTCAGACTTTGTTTTTGACTTGATGTCAGACCTGGAACTCCCCGCTGATTTCCCCAAACACAACAGCTACTTCATCATCTCTGCTCTGCAGCCAGCCAGAGTGCGGCCCAACGCCAGCATGTGAGACAATGCACGCACATTATCACTGAGATTTCATGAGGCCTGACAGCTACTGAGAGGATGACTTTGTACCTCTTCCGTTTTTACTGGTGGATGGTTATTAAATAGGCCTGTTTTACATGCTGTACTGTAATTTGCTTGGCAAGTAGTAATTTATCAGAATAAATATATCTGCTCTGCTCTGTTACATTAGTTGGATAATCAGAGCGTTTAATGCACTTCACTACTTAAAAAACTCTACAGATTTAGTTCCCAGTTGTTCCCTTCACCACAGGAGTTGGACAGCAGAAATCAAAGGAAGAAAGAATCATGGGTGTTCTTTTCTTTTCCTTTTAAACATTTTTTACATCAGCTGTTTTTTAAAGTATCAAAATTTCATAAAAGTAAGATTTAACACTCCCATAAGCTACATAGATGTGTTGAACGATTTAGATTTTTTTTACTTTCTTTTTCTGATCATTATTTTACAACCTTTCCTGTTTATCCTAAAATCCACACTTTGTGGACTTTTCTTTACTAAATGAATTTTAAATAAAAAAAATAAATAAACATGGGGCAGCACAGTTTAGCAGTTTAGAGCTGTTGCCTCTCAGCAAAAAGGTTGCTGGATCAAATCCCTGGGCCAGCCCGTGGCATAGGCAGTATAGGTAAATGCTAAGGGTGCCACCTATCTAGGGAGCCCCACAAATGGGGGATGAATAAAAAAATAAATGATAACATTTTATCAGAGTATGGTGGATTTAATCCCTGGCTACTCAGATTTATGAAGGTAACTTGTTCTGCAGGTTTCTCAGCTGCTTTGTTACTACATGAAGTGTTATATAGTGCAGATGATATTTTGTGATAAAAGTAGCATTTAATCAAGACTAACTTATGCTTCTCAGTGTCTAAATAGAAAATAAAATAAGGATAATGGAATTTTCCATAATAACAATAAAGAACAATAAAGTTCAGGTTAAAGTATGGTTTTCAGTGTTCTACCATCATAATGTACTGATTTTATGTTTTATTAACCTCGAGAATTTAGTAAAATTCTCTTTAAATGGTCGGAAAAAGCACAGTCTTGAGTAGATCAAAGTTTCTAGTATTTTATTTCAAATGAATTAATTATAATATTAATATATTTATATTATATATATTGTATATTGTATATTGTATAATATTTAATTATATTGTTGTATTTTATTTTGGACAACCTGGTTTTAAAGATGAAAAATAATATCGAAAACAAAACTATGTAATTTGGGATGTGAATATGTGGAAATTGGCAGTGAGATTTAGAAAAATGCACAAGGGGTGCCACCTGAAATCTTGCCTAAGGCGCCAAATTGTCTAGGAACTGGTACTGCATGGATCTTTCTGGGTAGATTTTGTATGTTCTCTCCGTGCATGCATGGGTTTTCTTGTAGTACTCAGGTTTCCCCACAAAGACCAAAACCATGCACGTTAGGTTAAATGGTAACTCTATGGTGTGAGTGAGAGAGTAAATGGTTATTTGTCTCTATGTGGCCCTGCGACCTGTCCACTGGTACTTGCACAATGACTGAATATTGACACCAGTGATCTCCATGACCTTGAAAGAAAGAAGCAAGTTAAGAGGATGGATGGATGGATGGATGGATGGATGGATGGATGGATGGATGGATGGATGGATGGATGGATGGATGGATGGATGGATGGATGGATNGATGGATGGATGGATGGATGGATGGATGGATGGATGGATGGATGGATGGATGGGTAAAAAAACCTTTTCAAAATACAGCTAGGAAATGCTAATGATTTATGACAACTACATTTTCTACTTTGTAATCAGCTATTTACTTGTGGGGTGCCACAGGGATCCATTTTAGGACCTGTATTGTTTATCTTCAATTTGTTGCCTCTGGGGTGTATTTTTAGGATATATATTTATTTCCTGTAAAAAAGCTTCTTGATAAAAAAAATCTAATACTGTTGGAAAGCCTCTTTCTGTGCCACACATGTAAGGAAAATGCATTTTTTGGTTGAGTAGCTGAGATCAGAATGTGGGTTGCACCTTTAAAAAACCTGCCTAATCTTTTCTGCCACATCTCACTTATTCAACTCTCCTGCTCAACCTAAAAATGCGTTTTCCATGCAAATGTGGCGCCATTTAAGGGGAAATAAACAGTCTTTCCAACAGTATAAGGCTTATTGTTAAGAATCACAGTAAATAAATAACTTACCAAACACAAATGTTTACCATTTGTGTTAAATTTATTTTCTTTTGTTGCAGTTTTTTTAGCAGTAATCTATTGAAACATGATGAGATTTTAAATGAGTGCTATTGAAGAAATTTATTGGGGTAGTTTACTGCTGACTTTTATAGACACTACACATTGTATAGTCTTTTATCAGGTGAACAGTTATTTATTTTTATAATGTAGTTATTTCTGATTGAATTGATGATTTTACAGTATGTGCAGACTGGGTTGTGGGGCTCTTTATCAGGGTTTTGCACACTCAGGAGGCTTTTAGTTAGATACATTCCTGATTTAAAACAACACATAACAACAACAACACATAAACCCTGATTAAACATTAGCATGAGGAATGATGTGTGATATTTTGACTGCGTGTAGAGATAGCATGCCCCTTTAACATATGTCATGAGGCGGGGTCAGGATGCGAAGAGGTTTGTTACTTTTGTTTTTCTGGATTCTGGTCACTGTTTAGCTGATGCCTGTCAGAGGCAGATTAAACTAAAGCTAATCAGTCCTCACTTGTGTCCGGATGGTTTTGTATGGCTCACTCAAACATTCACATGTCATTATTATTAACTGATGTTAGATCTGAACAGGTAATGTGTAAAGAACATTGCTTATTTTTTAACACCATGTTTTTCACTGCATTTTTATTTTAATAGATTTTTTCATTGTTTTTGTCATATAATACATTTAATTTTGTTTTGTTTAATTTCTTTATTTATTTCTGTTTAGCACTGGTCAACTTTGGTTTGTTTTAAATAAGCTATATGAATCAAATGAACGTTGGCACTGGATATCAGCTACGGCCGTGATCATGGGTCAAATATCTGAAAGGATTGTCAGTCAGCTTATTGTGTATCTGTCTGGCCTACAACCTTACTGAGTCAGTTCTTGTTCACTCTACTCATCATGTATTTTTAACTGCATCAGACTAGTACCAACAGACAAAGTGACATGTTTAAATTCCAGCTTCTGAAAACAATATAAATGAGTTTAGCGATTTCAGGCAGATTTTTCTTTCTGAGACGAGTCCAAAAACAGAGCTAAAACAAAGAGAATAATGGCCCTAATCAGGTGAAACAGCTGTGCATCAGTTCAGTTTCAAAATATGAGCAAATTGTTTTTACAGCCATCAAGTGGCCAAAACATCTATTTCCTCCACTTCTGCCAAATTCAAGCACTGACGAAGAGACCTGTGGTTTCTCATTGTTTTCCAGAAGCCTGTTAGGTGGTGGGTTTAACACAAGCAATGATGTCATCCCTTCAGCCATACTAGGCTCCGACCCATTCAGCCAAGGTATTTATTATTTAGGTAAACATTCCAGCACAGCCACTCGCTCAGATCTGAACAGAAAACAGAGTCCTCATCTCTCCCTCCTCAGATTTGGAGCCTCAGAGAGGGATGGATCGTTATCTCGACAGCCTGTTTGACCCTGTCCTGTCTGACGGAGCTGGAGTAAGTTACATAACTCAATCATTCTGACACACTTCGCCACACGGGAGGAAACTTCTCCATCAACCATCCACTGTCAGTTAATGTTAAAAAATCTCTCTAGAGCTCCAGACTGAGCTCAGAGCAAGCCCACTTAATAACAGACAGTCAGGCTAATGTGTAATTCTTAAATAGATTGAGCAAATTTGCCTCTAACACCAGATAAAAATAGTCATTCACCTCCTAGTCTTTATTTCTGCTCTAATTCTTCAGCCAAAAATCCATCTGCGAGCCTTCTTACTGTTCATATAAGTCAAATACAAATGATCCTTGAAAACAATTCAATTATTTTATGTCTAAGACACAAAATTTTAAATGAAGGACTTTGTATCAGGGGCTTATTAGACATTAAGATAAAAGTGGGCTTTTAGTTTAATTGAAATGATTTGATCTACAGTATGTGGCACCACTTCAAAACCATGGTCACTAAAATCCACTACACATTAAAGTAGCTCCAATACAAATCCATAAATTGAATTTTATCATGTACACTACTGCGCAAATGGTTGAAACAACCCACCTTTTAAGTTCCTAAGAACCAGACTTCTTTATAATGGTTCCCCAGACTTTCCAAATGTCTCTCAAAATGACCAAAATCCAATAAATGCCTCAAAATTTTCAACGACCCTGTACATTTATGCCTGAATAATTCATAGGTCCAAGTTAAACAAAGAAAACATAATGAAAGTTAAATATAGGAATGAAAATGAGTGAAGAAAACTTTGAAAGAGCTTCTGTGGAGAAACATTGAATAAATGATAAGAAAGTTTGGATGCTTTGAAGCAAAAATACAGATAGAGGACTGACTCAAGACTTTTGCAAAGTAGTCCGTTAGTCCTTTCAGGACCTTGGACAGAGACTGGCTTCATCTCAAACATTGTATGTCGCCTGTTCAACAAAAAAATGGTCATTATCTGGTTCTAAAGCCAAAGTTTGCCTGATTCAGCTTGCTGCCGTGGACGCCGGCCACATTAGATCAATCATCCTGCAGCAGAGACGGCGCTGTGGTTAATGTAAGCTGTGCTATCGGATGTGGCTGACAGAAATTAGCATGTATCAGATGTGTTCTACAGACCTCTCCTGCCCAGCAACCTATTACGTTACTCAGTTACTGTCACAGCCACTGAATCACCACGGTAATTTCCCATCCAGGCAACGTGGGGGATCTGCTTACCAGGAGCTGACACTCTGGCAGATGAAAGGCTTACTATTTAATGAGACGTGGCCTACACACACACACACGCACACACATGCTGCTGAGGATTTATAGGTCAGCAGCTGATGTCTGATGGAACGATGACACATTTTTAAAGTAGAGTTTGCATCAATGTCTTTTTGTAGTCAGGTTTGTGTTAAAAGTAGCTGAATAACGACGCCTGCTTCAGAAAGAAAGGAAATGCATATCTTTGCCACAAGTTTTAGTTAGCAAACAGAATGCTTGACTTAATGAGAGAGACTCTCTGTGTTCAACAAGTTTTTTTCAACAAAGCGTCCTAACTGTACTAATGTCATTAATGAATTAATTAAAACAAAAAAGCTTTTTATTAGTAGTTTTAGACAGTTTTAGCTTTTTTTTAAGTCCAACCAGGGATAAAGTCTGGAAATTAGCCTTGTGCTAAGAGTTCTTTACTCAGAATAATAATATAATTCTTTAATCTTTAGAGTTTTTCTGTTGTCTCTGTTCAAAGAAACTAATTGAATCTATCCTCCTTCTTCAGTTTAATTTATGCCTTCAGATCTTGATTTGATTTCGGTCTTAAAGTCTGTCTCTCCTGACAGGAACCAGAATCAGCTTCGGGACTGTCGAGCAGGATGAGGGGAGCTGGAGGAGTTGGTGGGAACTGGGAAAAGCAAGAGCGGTCCAGGGGCCACCCACCTCCACCTGGAGGTCCGTCTCACACACACACACACACACACAGAGAGAGAGAGAGAGAGAGAGAGAGAGAGAGAGAGAG